TAGACATCTAACTAAAACTATATTCTTTCAACCCTGAGTAATCAAATGAGAGACTGCTCTGCAAGATCTCTTCTGTGCAAACGTTTATTTCTCGCTTATTTAGTATTTTAAAAGAAATCCCTGCCATTGACAATCAATTCCATTTGTAATTCTGAGATAAGTCTACTTTTGTTCATCTAATAAGCAGCCGCTTTTATCAAAGAAGATTTTGAGTTTATAGCAGATACCTGGGAGCCTAAAATTGAGACAGGGAGAATCTACAAGACTCTGTTTCCCTATGAAGCAGGAAGCTGCATCTGTGCTTTTCTTTAATTCAAAATGAAGTATAGGGATCCAACTTGAAACTTTCTCTGTCCCACATATATAAGTAAAAAGAAAATTCTCACTGAAAGATCTGAACAGTCTTCACGAGTTCTCTATCTTGGAAGCACATCCTCACAAATCTAAGCATAAGGACAACTATAAGAAGGGGAAAAATCCAACCAACACATTATAATCCCAACTAAGAAAAGATGCTATGGATATATCCTAAGTAACAACAGCAACATATATCTTGGCAGCAGCAACCGGGTCAGAAAGGCCTGGTAAAGAAGCAACTGAAGGGGATCAGTGGCCAGCATGACATGATTGCAAGACAGGAGATTAACTGAAATATAAATTGCGCTGAAAGGCAATGACAAAGATAAATTCCTATCACCCAATTCTACAGTACTGTGGGATTGTAGACTGGGGTATCTGCAAAATATGGTTAAAAAAAATCAGATGGCAGCTACCCCAATACAATCAGTGACCAAACTGCAGCACTCCCCTGGCATAGGAAGCATATGTGTCTTCTTGAAGAATTTACGAAGTTTTCTGGGATGGCCATGTTTGGTATAAATTCCATAATCCTGTCTAGCCATTTCTGGTAATATATGTTTGGAATACTAGGATCAGAAAAACAAAGCAAAGAATGAGGACTGACTTCACATCTGGCTGAGTACAGCTGCAACTTGGCTCTAACATTTTGGAAACAACTTTTATCTTTCTTGTATCACAAGCATCTAATCACTAAAAATTGTTCAAAATTCATATTTTTTGCAATAAGATATAAAACCACTGAAATCAAGTGTCTTTCAGAATTATATTTTTGTTTACCTAATATTTCACTTTTAAAAGAGTTCATTGGTAATTGTATGCTTATCAGAGTTTTGCCAAAACAGTTTTTAAGTTTAAGAGTGACCTATTAGTCACAAAATCACCCTAACTTGAGTTTATGGTTTTCAAGATGAATATAAGAATCATTCATCAAAAAGGGGGACTCTCAGTGTGTATTTGGAAAAAAGGAAGGAGATAATTTCATAGGTTGTAGCATTTTAACTAAGTTTTCCCCCAAAACTTTATCCATATATTTCTTATCAAATTACAAAACTGAAAAAAATCTGACATTGTTCTAAATGTTTTCCAACGTGACTGTGAAAAAGTTTTTATTAGCAATGTCAGAGGGAAAAAATAAAACAATTATACCATGTTGCCTATTAAATTTACAAAGATAATTTAGATGTTCATATTACAGAGATCTAAACTCTTCTAGGGGTGGACAATGCAAGTCATGAAACACCTTGTTTTCCAAATGCACACGTGTTCTACAATGGCACTGTTTGGAAGAACAAAACAGCAGACAGAAAAAATGAGCCTCTTTCCATATAAGACTCTTCCCTAGACTATTAAGTTAGCCAGGAAGAGCTCAGTTAGAAGAACATGTCAGGAAACTAATAGTGTTTTTCTCTGATTGCACTTCAATGGTTAGACTGACATGTAAAATTTACAGTAGTGACTAGATGATTGTATAAGAAGCATACATAAAATCTCATAAGCAGCATTCAAGACCAAAACATTAAAAATGTTAGTATTTTGCAGTATAGACTATATTATACTTCTTCTCTTTCCTATTGTGTTGCAATGATGATGGTGCAAATTATTTGATTTTTGTCACCTGCAATTCGGTGCTTATTGTTTCAACTCTTATCTGAACTGAATTTGTAATTAAATATACTGGCCTGTTCCATATAATAAAAATGTTGACAAACACTATTGCAACCAAGTTGTAAGAAATGTTGAGGAAATTTGTAGATGTTTTGGTCTGAATTAAGAGGACTGGCAATGAAGTTATGTCTTAACAAACGGGGAAACACACTTAAAATCAGATATTTCCGACCTGCTGGTCCCCAGATATTATTGACTGTAATTCCCATGATCTTCACTAGCATGATGGTTCATCTAGGGATGAAAGTGGTTGTGTATGATGTATCTGGAGAATATCTGTTGACAAAATGCTGTTCTAGGAATTCTGCCCCAAAGGAAGGGGACCGAGCACCATCTGCAGCAAACTGCAATGGTAGTAAAATGATTAACACAGCACACTATAATGATATCATAAAGCATATGTCATTCTTACATCCTTGCACTCAATATCTAATGCATGTATGTAAGTTGTGGCACTTATGTGATGATGTCATTGTGCATGTTTCATAATTCCTCCCCTCCTTCCTCCCCCTGCCCAGACTTGTGGCATTCATTTCCAGCTATTTCTATGACTAGCGGAAACACAGATAATGAAAATCAGATTGGCTATTATTAGTTGGCAGGAAAAAGATGTTAGGTAAAAAGCTGTCCTGAGTAATATGAATACTGTTTCAGGTGTACTAAATCATTCCCAAGTTTCCAATATACTAACTTTTCCACAGTGCTGTTTCACTAAGATTCTCACAACAGTCCTAAAATTATGTTTTATATAATAGACAAATATACAAATAGAATTTTTTCTTACTAACTCACATTTAATTCACACATCAGACCCAGAATATCTTGCTGCCACTTAAACCAAGAAATGTAACAACTCACACATTTCAGTTTAAATATCACACAAGTTCATGTCTGTTTTGGAGTAGTACATTCCTTACACCATATTTAACAAGGAACCATTATACAATTGCAATCGTCAGACTAAAGAGAGTTGTTTGCATAACTAAGAAAATCTTTGGCTGTTTCTACGATGTAGTATGTGGAAGAATGCAAATCAGTTTATGTTGGCTCCTATGATATTCAGCAAATATAATTAAAAAGATCACATTTACCCCCCCCCCCCTTTTCAAATTTTTAAAACCACTACCAATGTCATTGAATTGTGAAATGTGATGGAATGAATCAACTTCTCATGTTACATTTTCAGATCTGTGTCACAGTTCTAAGGAAGATTGCACTAGAAACATATTTATCTGATGCTTTCTCTTTCGTAATACAATTTTATACAAGCCTGTGTTGCAGGAAAAGTGATCTAAACTAAGTTTGGCTTTTCTTTTAAGTTACAGCAGCTAACACTGAGAGAGGTGCACAGAATAGTCAACAGTGCACAGAGAGAGGCGTACAGAACAGTATAGAACAGTTCTAAGAAATGGTTATATCTGAAACACAACACCAAAATGCAGACCCTTGAAGCAGAGTAACAGAACAACTTTGTTTACACTCTGCAAGTCTGCTTTTTACCTACCCAAGGTATGGTTATTGCCCTAGGAAGATATACTACCTCACTCTGGGAGACTGATTACAGTACACAGAGTTTCCTCCCCCACTAACCTGTTTCCATACAAGTCGGCCTATTTTTCCACCACCCCCTCTTCCGTTCTTTGTGAGCCAAAAAAGTCGGCTTATGACTGTTACAGCACTGAGGTTTAAATGTCACGCTAGGCTTTTCTAAAATTGGCTTGATACCGGCGACCGAGGGAAATCAGCAAGGCGAGTAGGATGTAAATGGGGGCGAGGCGAACGGGCACTCACCGAGTTCAAGGGCCTGGTTGTACTTCTCCAAAGCGGCCGCCAGATCCTGTTTCTCCCGCAAGGCATCCCCTTCGGCGCACAGCCGGCGCGCTCTATTCTCGGCCGGGAACCATTTTTCCAGCAAGCTGCCCAGCACCACGTTGACGCGGGGGTCGGCGGGGGCTTGGCCGGCCGGGCTGGGGGCCGCGGAAGAGGCACAGGCGGAGACGGGACGCCGGACGGCGCAGCGGACACACTGCCCGCCGCCGCTCCGGGCGCAGCGCTTGCAGTGGGTGTGCCCGCAGTGCAAAGTCACCGGCTCGTGGAGGAGACGCAGGCACGAAGGGCAGCAGAGCGGCTCCGGAGGGCGGCAGCAACCGGGGTCCCCCAGCGGGTCAGCCGCCTCCGGGGCGCCCCCGCCGCTCCCAGGGCCCTGCCAGGGAGGCAGCCGCAGCTCCTTGTCGCGGACGAGGAGGGCGAAACTCTCGGTCAGCTCGCGTAACTCCTCGGGACGCAAACGGGCCAATCTAGCGGCGACGCTGTACGAGTCCAACGCTTCGGCCATGCGCCCCGCGCGGGCCAGCGCGTCCCCTTGGCGGAGGCACAGGCCCCGCTCGGGCTGCAGCAGCTCAGCCAGCTGCGAGCTCAGGATTTCGGCCGCCAGCGCGAACTGCCCGCCTCGGAAAGCCTCCTCGGCCACTTGCAGCATCTCCGGGCAGGGACCTCCGCCCGACAGGGCCTGGGGATGGTGGGGATACTGTTGCGCCGGCTGCCCGGCGGCCGGCCCCAGCTCCATTGTCGCCGCCAAGAAGCCAAGTGGGTGTGGCGGCGGCGGCGGCGGCAGCGGCAGCGGGGGGCTGCGGCTGCTATGGCTCCATGGTCGAAGTCAGGCTCCGCGAAAGCAGGCGGCGCGGGGAATCGTCCCAGCGTAGCCTTCCATCGCCTCCGCCCACGGCCCAGCCCGGCCTCGGACCCTCGCGCTAGAGGGCCGGGCCACTCAGAAGCGCCGCCAGCCCTGCTTCGGGCGGTCCCCGGCGGTGGAGACGGCAGCGGGGTCAGGGGGAGGAGAATCGGACGGCGCGCTCCCTCCCTGGAGCCACACGAGCAGGCAACCGCGACTATTTCTGGGCTCGGGCGCTTATGCAACTCCGAGCCGTTGTATAACTCATCCTCCCCGGCGGAGGGCAGCACCGCCCTACTGAGCCCGCCCAGTCTCCAGCCTGGTGAGCAGGGCGCACATGCCCTCCGCCAGCCGCAGCGCACGTGCGCGGCCGGAGAGAGGTCGGGCCGCCGTTCGGAGGCTTCCTGGAAGGGAAGCGCAGGTAACCGAATGGCTCCCTTCTGGCTGGGCTTCCTCTTCCTTTCCTCCGTAGGGAGGCTCCGTGTGATCTTTCGCCGAGTTGAGTAGGTGACATCTATTTAGAAAGAGCTCCACGGGGCGGTCTCAGTTACCCGGTGCTTTTAGGACTTCCTCTTCAACCATTGGGTGTAAATCTGGCGTATTTTGATAGACACGTTTTATGTAGCTTGCTTTTTTTTTTTTTTTGGACAAAAAACAGAGGTATTAGGCTAACTTGTTCTGCCTTCCTTTGCAACGTCCGAGGGGAAGCGAAAGCAACTTTCGCAGCAACGTTGTCAGGCACAGCGGAGTTCTTGCTATCCGTTTATCGGAGCGGGGCCCATTCAGTTTTCATAAAAAATGGAACCTAATGAAAGATGAGATCCTCGACGAATAATTCAACACGCTGAATTACTTCTAATCTAGTCTAGATTACTTTCTAGCAGGAAATAAACAAAAGATGGCAATTTATAAGAGTTTACACAATGTGTTAATGTGCCACGGCTGTGGCCTGGTTTGCTGAATCATAAATCATAGCATGCAAAATACACTGAGTTCAAAAATTGCACTAAAGTTAAGATAAATAGCTTACTCAAATTTATTAACCTATGCTTAATATATATTTTTTTTGGCCTTTTCATAAGAATGGCTTACATTATATTCACAGAGAAAGACTACATGGGTATTCGATCATTCTTTTCTTATGCAAGAACCTATTCTCTCCCCTCAGTATCAAAACGATTATATTTGATTTATTATATACATTAGTGTTGAATAGTAGCTTCCAAAATTAGACATTTCCATTGATCAAGATACAAGGTTATCAATGTAAACCTCCCACTTTTTTCATGTATTTTCTTACAATTTTAATTGATTGATTAGGCTGGGATAATCAAATTTGATGCATTTGACAAGCATGGTTAATAACCTGGGATAATGAAAGTGGTAGTGTAAAATAGCCAGAGGACCTAGCATGCTTATGACGGCCATGGCCAGGGGGGGCTTTTATCAGGTTCGCCTGATTCACCAGTTGCAGCCCTTTCTGGACCGGGACGCCCTGCGCACGGTCACTCATGCCCTTGTTACTTTCCGGTTGGACTATTGTAATGCTCTCTACATGGGGCTCCCCTTGAAGAGCACTCGGAGGCTCCAACTGGTCCACAATGCGGCCGCGCGGGTGGTTATGGGTGCAACTCGTTGTGCCCACGTGACACCCCTCCTGCGCAAGCTGCACTGGCTCCCAGTGGTCTTCCGGGTGCGATTCAAGGTGCTGGTTACCACCTTTAAAGTGCTCCATGGCATAGGACCCGGGTACCTTTGAGACCGTCTTCTGCCACCAATAGCCTCCCACTGACCAGTTCGCTCCCACAGAGAGGGTCTCCTCCGGGTGCCATCGGCCAAGTTATGTCGGCTGGCGACACCCAGGGGGAGGGCCTTCTCTGTGGGAGCCCTAGCCCTGTGGAACGAACTGCCCCCGGAAATACGTAAGATCTCCGACCTCTGGGTGTTTTGCTGCGCACTAAAGACCCTGTTGTTCCGCCAGGCTGGGCTATCAACATAATAGTTTTAAATTGGGGTATTTAAATTTCTGGGGTTTTAAATTTGAGCCAAATCTATTTAATTATTTTAAATTTTAATCGCTGTTTTGTCTTGTGTTTTTAAATAGGCTGTACACCGCCCTGAGTCTTTCGGGAGAAGGGCGGTATAGAAATAAAATTATTATTATTATTATTATTATTATTATTATTATTATTATTATTATTATTATTATTATTATTATTATTATTATTATTATTATTATTATTATTATGCTTACCTCTATGCCGGACAGAAAACTTCATCAGCTTCAGGGAAATGTTTTTATGATTATGTATATCAATTCAAGTCCTTCCATAGTACTGACAGAATTTGAGCATTGTAAGCCTCTGCTTATAGTTTGCATGAATTTCTAACAATTGTCAGAAATTGTGATCCCATTGAGAAATAAATTTTAACTAGGTTAGAATTCCTGGGAAACTGGAAGAGGTATTTTTGGCTCTCCATTTGCATGCTTTTTAAATGTTGTAATGTGGGGTTTTCCAATTTTGGAAACTTTTTAAGACACCTGAAGTTCAACTTAGAAAATTCCCCAGCCAGCATGGGAATTCTGGAAGTTAAAGCTCCCAAGTTTTAAAGTTGCCACAGTCTGGGAAACCCTGCTGTAATGGAACCACCAGAAAAGATTAAATAGTTAGGCTGAGAAATTGAAAAAAAGATCCTGGTTAAAGACAAATTGCTTCTGTAATATTGGCAAAATTTCCTGCATAGATGTAATAACAATTTAAGCCATCTTTGTTTTAAATACAGAGCACTTTCTTATCCAGAATGTGAATTTGCATTGAAAAGTGATCTTCAGATTTTTTTATAAATAGACAGTATATTTTATCATTTATCCACTCAAACGTTTTCACCGTCACATAAAGAATTTCATTGTGAAACTAATACAGTTGAGCTTTAGATACATTTAGCAGTACAGTCCTCATGACGTGATGAAAAACTTCTCCAGACTTTCTAAAATAGACAAAAAATATATTCATGTGTTTCACATTAACAGTTAATCAATTGAAATATGCAGTCATTTCCAGCCATTTAATTACAACCTTGGACCATGAAGATACCTGGCAAAACATATCTGGGACCAGGATTTTTCATATATTATCACTAATACAAAATCATCTTTAATGATTTAGTTTTGTATAATAATTAGTTTAATAGACAACTGCCAAATTGGTTAGAAGTTACTGAAAATTCTGTTTTAATAAGAATTGTTTGTTGGGGACATCTAGTGGTGAATCCAAATAATAAATACTGTAGTTTTTAGACTAAAAGATGGAAGCATAGATTTAATCTGGTAAACTGAGTTGGAACAAAAAGGGCATAAAATGGAATAATGAAGGTAAAGGTTCCCCTCGCGCATATGTGCTAGTCGTTCCCGACTCTAGGGGACGGAGCTCATCTCCATTTCAAAGCCGAAGAGCCAGAGATGTCTGAAGATGTCTCCGTGGTCATGTGACTAAACGCCAAAGACACATGGAACACTGTTACCTTCTCACCAAAGATGGTCCCTATTTTTCTACTTGCATTTTTTGTGTGCTTTCAAACTGCTAGGTTGGCAGAAGCTGGGACAAGTAACAGGAGCTTGCTCCATTATGCGGCGCTAGGGATTTGAACCGCTGAAGTGCTGACCTTTCAGTCGACAAGCTCAGCGTCTTAGCCACATGAATACCAAATTACACAATGATACACCAGATTGATTTAATTATTATTATAAGTATATATTTCCTTTTATTATAACATTATGAAACAGTCAAAAATGTAAATTTATTAATTGATAATAAGGCTAAGGCTACTGTTTTCTTATGACCTTTAGATTTCTCTTCAGAAATAGAGTATGGTGCAAATAAGACACCGCGTCCCTTTTGGAATAATGAAAGCTCTTCATATATTTTATTGCAGTAGCTATACTGCAACATCAAAATCTAGAATGGTATTAATTTTGTGTTATGGTATATATTAAAATGTAATGTTGCTTGGAGTATTTGACTTATCAAAAGCTAGGTAATAGATATTCTCAGCTAAAGTAAGCTTTGAACCAAGGACTTTGAACTGTAGTGCATGCATTTGACCATTCCAGTCCAGTGAAATTCCATTTTAGATATTCTTTCTTATATCTTCCATTCATGATTTTATTTTGAGGAGGGAAGGTTTATTTGTTTGACAATGCAATTTAATACAGCATCACAGACATCTACTCAAGACCTGCTTTTTAATATTTTAATTAAATTGCTTTGTGGGTAATCCCACAAAGTGCATGCATTCATTCAATGTAAGGAGGCTGCAGAGGGCCATATGATGGACTAAATTTGATAATCATATGATTGACCATATAATGGACAATTTGACAACACTGATAAAGAGGCCTGTGAAGAGATAGATATTTATGATGATTGGTGTTCCCCAAGGTCATGTATTACCTTTTGTGACATCCTGACAAGCAAAGTCAGTGGGGAAGCTAGATTCACTTAACAACTGAGTTACTAATTTATCAGCTGCAGTGATTCTCTTAACTTTGGCAACAAAGATCATAAAATGTCTCACTTAACAACATAAACTTTGGGCTCAATTGTGATCGTAAAACAAGGACAACCTATATTTTACTTTGTTGTGAGAATGGTTTCCACTGCAACCAAGGTAACAGAATTGCACTGGCCATGATATACTGAGATTTTGTTTCTTAATGATTCTACCTTCCACCATCTGTTATTGGAGTGGTTGTACATTCTCTTTATTGAAAAGGCAACTGAGAAAGTCCTAGGTGTGCAAAGAGTGCTGGCCTGGTTTCTTCAACAACTTTTTATTTTTTCAAAACACCTCATCAAATAGTCTTCTGAACCCTATATAACCCCCACTGGCATTTAAAAAAAAAACCAAAAGGTTCTACTTTTTTCAATGGAAAGCTGTAGAAAACAACAAAGTAAGATATTTTGATAGAGGGTATTTCCCATAAGAAGAACAAGATGTATCCTCCTCACTAACCATTATTAAGTGCGTATTTTATAATTTGAGATTTCCATTACATCAATACTTTTGAAGTAGTCCATTCATTCCCCTTATAACACATTTATCAAGTCTGATACGTATCCCTAAGCCAAAAAAAGAACAGTGAACACATGGCATTTTGAATTCAGGTCAGTAGACAGATAGTGGACTGTTGGAGTTGGGCAGGCAGTTTTGCTTCTTTGCTTGGAACTGAATTTCAATCACCCATCATGTTTTTGCATCATGAATGCAAAACAGTGGCAACATGCATTGTTGATTTGCCTTTCCAAATGGCTTAGGCAACACCTGTCTTCCTGAAGCAGAATAGCTGTGTGGGCATCTAATTGGAGGAAGCTGCACTTATGACTACATTGCTTGTTTGTCTCTTAAGTGACTTGTTTATCT